TTGAAGCATGCGTTTTTTTTTGGGGGGGGCAGAACTTTGTGACGTCATATTTGAGGGGGGGGGTCTGACTTATTGTGACGCCGTGTGACGAAGGGGGGGGGGGATCAAAAATCGTCCAAAGTCGCGTGACGTCATTTATGGACGGCCCCTTACCAGGTAAGCCCCACTGAGCAATGTAGCTCTTATTCTTAGCTCTTTCGGTAAAGTCACGTTGAAGGGAAACAATAAAATATATATACAACAATAAAATTCTCACGACGTTTCGGCCGTTGGTTTTTCACACCTGATGATGACCGTTTGTGTTGTGGTCGAAACGTCGTGAGAATTTTTATTGTTTTATATATATTATTTTATTGTTTCCCTTCAACGTGACTTTAACGAAAGAGCTAAGAATATGAATTACTGCAGTCACGAAAGCTTTAAATCAAAATTAATGTAGCTCTTGTTTTTTTAGAAGAGACCTGCCTATAAATGATAGCTCAACGAAGTGGCTTGTCATGGGGAAAGGTATAGCAGCCAGATACTCTAAACGCGTGATGTTGATTCTTAAATGTAGAGGGAAAACCCGGAGAACCCGGTTGAAAGATCCACGCGACCACGGGGAGAGAGACACGCAAACTTCAAATATACAGCAGCAGCAGACGTCAGGGTCGGGATCGAACCCACGACCTCCTGTGTACCAGGCGAGGTAGTTAACATTTCCAAGCCATCGTGATGATGATGATGAGAGAGAGACACCACAAACTCCAAATATACAGCAGCAGGCGTCAGGGTCGGGATCGAACCCACGCCCTCCTATGTATCAGGCGGGGGAGTTAACATCTCCAAGCCACCGTGATGATGATGATGAGAGAGAGACACCACAAACTTCAAATATACAGCAGCAGCAGGCGTCAGGGTCGGGATCGAACCCACGACCTCCTGTGTACCAGGCGAGGTAGTTAACATTTCCAAGCCATCGTGATGATGATGAGAGAGAGACACCACAAACTCCAAATATACAGCAGCAGCAGGCGTCAGGGTCGGGATCGAACCCACGACCTCCTATGTATCAGGCGGGGGAGTTAACATCTCCAAGCCACCGCGGCGATCCACCAACGCTTACAGGCGTGATTTACGAGTACACTCTATACACACACACACAATGTTCCCATGCAGTGCTCTGCAATGTGTTGTTTACACAACGTGTTCGTTCGGGGCATGTCGTTGCGAATCCGCGACGTGGCGCGGGATCCTTGGCTGGAGCGATGTGGGGTTGGCGGGGGGGGCCGAAGGGGTTTGTGGTGTACCCGCGGTGACGCCGAGAGGGGTTCAGAGAACGACGGGGGGGGCAAGGCTTGGCGTTGGTTTCAGTCGCCTAGGACACCAGGTGACTACACAAACTCTGCGAGTGCTCACCTGCAGGCACAGTGTGATTCGCACACCGCACACGCAACAAAGGCACAGACCCCGCCCCCGCACCCACGCCGTGTAGCCTTCACAGACCGTTGGGGCAAGTGCTGTGAGCGAGCGAGCGCGCGCGCGCGCCCGTGACCCCCGTCGTGATCAGCGGTGCATTTATCACCCAGCCTGCGACTGCGTGAGTCGGCGTAGGAGCTCGCCCGTGGCGATTTGTGAGTGCGGGGCTGAGAGGTGCTCGGTCACAATTGTCACTTTCGGGTTTTTTTTAGTTTTTCCTTCCGGTCGCATTCACTTCCACCGGGACACTCAATCGAGAGCCGCGACGTTCCTCGAGCAGGTTCCAGGTCGAGCAAGTGGATCGCGGCGATCGCGGCGATCGCGGCTCGGATCAGCAGCGGACGTTGCGATTGTCAGCGGGGTGTGGACGCTTCAATTCGGTGAGTCCTTTTCGCCCCGAAATCAAGGCCGTTGCCATGGAGTCAACATTACGGGGGACCAAATCTTCCAGGGGGTCTGGGAGTCCCCCCCACCTCCCCAGAAAAAAAATCTAAATTTAAAAAGAATTTCCTGCCTAAAATGTAAAAAAATCACTAACACATGGGATTGACTTTTTATTTCTTTTTAACAATGTCTAATAGTGTTATTGTATTTACATTGCCCTGTTTTTCTTTTTTACCTTTTCTTGTTTCATTGTATGTAATGGCAGAGATTAGGGATTTATTCAGTACAACCATAACCACAATCATATAAACAGAAATCTATTTCAAAATCTATTTTATAGCAATATATTGGGGGGGGGGGGACATTTTGAGCATATTTGAATATTGGGGGGGGGGGATGTGTCCCCCCCCCAATAAATATTATTATTACGGCCTTGGTTGAATCCCTGTACGAATCGTTCCATTGCGTACGGCCAGGCGGGTTATCGCGGTAGTCGTTGTTGCTTTTGACCGAGCACCGCAGAATTTTTGTCCAGGAGGGTCATCGCTAAGTGCTCGTAGTCGCGCGGGGGGAAATTGTCGACGTGGAGTTGTAGATGTCGAGGGACCTTTGGGGTGGTTCGGTTCCTGCGCACAGTGGCTAGGAGATGTTAACTACCTCGCCTGGTACGCAGGAGGCCGTGGGTTCGATCTCGACCCTGGATATTTGGGGTTTAAATGTTCTCGCTCCCCGTGGTCGCGTGGATTTTTCTCCGGGTCCTCCGGTTTTTTTCCCCTCCACGTTTATAAACCGAGCGGCGTTCTTCGTTACGAGGCCTGCGGGTCACTGGCGGCCCCTGACAATACACAAAGAGTGAAAGCACCACCCCATCATCATCATCATCGCGCTGCTGCCACAAACCCAAGAATGGGTGCAAATGTGTGGCGGCACCCTCACGCTGATGATGTCTTATCGGCGAAAATGTCGATAATAAGAGTAGTGAAGAACGCTGCTTTAGTGTCTTTTATGCTGCTATAAATTTCCAGGTGATGAGCCACTTCGTTGAGCTGTCAGTCGCGGCCAGGTCGCTTCTGAAAAAGAGCTGCGAACCTCAGTGGGCCTTACTGTACCTGGTCAAATAAATAAATAAAACAACACTTGATTGGCACGTCATGCCATTGTTGAGGTCTGCTCGCCGCGATGAAAGGGCTCCAGGAGAGAGTTCGTGTCGTGTTGCTATCCTTCCTCCGTCGAAGGAGCGCGGACTCGAGTGAGGTTATTTTAGATCCGTAGTGTGGGTTGCATGGCCACAATCGCACTCCTCTGTGGCTGTCTTTAATTTCCCATTGATGCAAGAGACGTGCGTATCGGCCCGTTGATGTTGCGATGCGGTTGATGGTCAAACCGGTGTCTTCGAGGACGAATGTCAAAGCCAGAAGGAGGTGCGATGATGTTTGGGCCTCGAAGTAGGTGGTGTTTATTCTGGACGCGCGCGTTGTTCCACTCTGTTGGCACGGCAGCATGGTTCTCCTGGATATGGGTGAGACGCGCGTTTAGAGTATTTGGCTGCTAGACATGTCCACGTTATAAGCCACTTCGCTGAGCTATCATTTGTGGTCAGTTCGCTTCTGAAAAAAAAAACACCTATATGCATCAGTGGGGCTTACCTGGTAAAATGAAAAAAAAGTAACTCTAGGATGGTGACAGCAGCAGCGTGACCCCAGAAGGGATGGGATCGGCGAGTCTGGGGTGGTGTTATGAATGCTTGAGATGCTTTCAGCGGATGAGTGAAGCGGGCAATGTTGAAATGTAAGTGCTGTTAGCGAGCAGCATCAGCACACGAGGGGATGCGTGGCTCAGCACCACGCCCGACCCTCCTTTGTCTCCCCAGTGCTGATGTATACTCACTGCACCGGGGAACTCTTTTAAAGCCAAGTCGACCTAGGGGAGGCCCAGTTCAAATATTCGTCGCTATAATTGGTTGTTAGCTTGCATCAAACTCAGGTCGCACGGTTCGGAGCTCACTGTGCTCACCACTGCGCCACCGCTCCCCACAATTACAAAAAAATACAAAGGTCCCCCGTATACTCTTTGGTTCTTTCGGTAAAGTCACGTGGTAGGTATAAAATAATGATGACGATTGCTTGTGTTGCGATCGAAACGTCGTGATTTAATTTATTTTATTTTTTGTACCTACGCGACTTTTACCGAAAGAACCAAAGAGTATGGATCCCTGCAGTCACGAAAACGTCAAATCTAGATAATCCCCCGTATAGCCTGCACATATTGTTGGGGCAATTGTTGGTCGCGAGTAGCACCTATGAAAGGCCTGCACGGCACACGATAGGCATGGGTGGCCAGCGTCACGACCGACCGCCTTTGTCTCGCTATAGGCGATGTGTACACACCGCACTCGGTACTCATTTGAGGCTGAATCCAACATTCACACGCACCCACCGGTGCACGAAGGCAATGATTCTCAAACGGGGGTACGCGGACACCTGGGGGTTCGTGGCAATGTCTCACGGGGGGTACGTGAGGTGACTTTTAAACGAGTGAAATTTATCGCACATGATAGCCATTTGTGAATAATCACGCCGTATAAATCCGCCAATATAAAATAACGACGATAAACTTTACATCCATATGGTAACCTAGAACGATCACGTATGCAGAAATACAATAAAATTATATTAAAACAAAAAACAATTACGACGTTTCGATCACAACGCAAGCGATCTTTGTTTTAATATAATTTTATTGTATTTCTACATACGTGACTTTACCGAAAAAAACAATGAGTAATTTTATGCAGTCACGAAAGCTTTAATACTTTATTAACCTAGAACGATATTAAATACCTTTCTAAACTTGGTGATCTTTAACAATGTTGGTTTTCAAGAATATCCAGCGAGCAAATTAGCTCACGCGTGCACAGCGTCCGTTGAATGTTTCTTGTTTACTCGCCCTGCTGTTCCTAGCGAGTAGGGACAGCTCACACAATGAACAATTGGGTGAAAATATTGACGTTCGTTTATTCGTAGATTTATTTCGGGCAAGCGGGGTACTCGGATGAAACTAAATTCAACAAAGGGCGGCGTGCCGGGGGGGTAATAGCCACTGCTCTAGGCGGTAGGGCACACGTGAAGGCCACTGAACACCCCTTCGCCCATCAGGTGATGTCGGAGTCCGGAGCTGTCCACCCGGTGGTGCTGAATGTCGGCGGCACGAACTTCTCCTCCTCCATGGCCACGCTCACGCGATACCCGGACTCGCTGCTCGCCCGCCTGGTGCATCGCGGCACCCATGGGCAGGTCGGTGGCGAAGACCCCAGTTAGCGAGCGCCACGGTGGCGAGGGGATGTTAATTCCCTTGCCTGGTATACAGCAGTAGCATCTCTGTAACCCAGCTCTGCCCTGTGCTGTTTCTAGGGATCAGGACAGCCACGACAGCAGCAGTAGCATCTCTGTTGTCCATCTCTGCGCTGTGCTGTCTCTAGGGATCAGGACAGCCACAACAGCAGCAGTAGCATCTCTGTTGCCCATCTCTGCCGTGTGCTGTATCTAGGGATCAGGACAGCCACAACAGCAGCAGTAGCATCTCTGTTACCCATCTCTGCCCTGTGCTGTTTCTAGGGATCAGGACAGCCACAACAGCAGAAGTAGCATCTCTGTTGTCCATCTCTGCCCTGTGCTGTATCTAGGGATCAGGACAGCCACAACAGCAGCAGTAGCATCTCTGTTGTCCATCTCTGCCCTGTGCTGTTTCTAGTGATCAGGACAGCCACAACAGCAGCAGTAGCATCTCTGTTGCCCATCTCTGCCCTGTGCTGTCTCTCGAGATCAGGACAGCAACAACAACAGAAGTAGCATCTCTGTTACCCATCTCTGACCTGTGCTGTGTCTAGTGATCAGCAAGAACAGCAACAACAGCAGCAGTAGCATCTCTGTTGTCCATCTCTGCCCTGTGCTGTGTCTAGGGATCAGCAAGAACAGCAACAACAACAGCAATTGCATCTATGTTGTCCATCTCTGATCCTGTGCTGTCTCTAGGGATCAGGAGGACAGCAACAACAGCAGCAGTAGCATTTCTGTTGTCCATCTCTGCCCTGTGCTGTGTCTAGGGATCAGCAAGAACAGCAACAACAACAGCAGTAGCATCTCTGTTACCCATCTCTGACCTGTGCTGTCTCTAGGGATCAGCAACAACAACAGCAGTAGCATCTCTGTTACCCATCTCTGACCTGTGCTGTCTCTAGGGATCAGCAACAACAACAGCAGTAGCATTTCTGTTGTCCATCTCTGCCCTGTGCTGTCTCTAGGGATCAGCAAGAACAGCAACAACAACAGCTGTAGCATCTCTGTTGTCCATCTCTGCCCTGTGCTGTCTCTAGGGATCAGGAGGACAGCAGCAGCAGCAGCCGCTGTTTGTGGACCGTGACGGGACGCTGTTCCGCCATGTGCTGGCCTTCCTGCGGGATGGGGCGCTCAGCCCCGGCCTGCAGGGCCCGGAGCTGCGCTCGCTGGGCCGCGAGGCCGCCTTCTACGAGCTGCACGCGCTGGTGCGGGCCATCCAGCAGGCAGAGGTGGGCGCGGGCCCTCCCTGGTCATCGTCAGCACCATCAGCACCATCATCATCACCATCATAGTCAGCACCATCATCATCAGTACCATCATCATCAGCACCATCATCGTCAGCACCATCATTGTCATCACCATCATCATCACCATCATCGTCAGCACGATCAGCACCATCATCATCATCAGCACCATCGGCATCATTACCATCATCACCATCATCGTCATCACCATCATCACTGTCATCGTCAGCACCATCAGCACCATCACCGTCATCGTCAGCACCATCATCACCATCGGCATCATCACCGTCATCGGCATCATCGTCATCACCATCATCGTCATCACCATCATCGTCATCACCATCATCGTCATCACCATCATCACCGTCATCGTCAGCACCATCGGCACCATCACCGTCATCGTCAGCACCATCACCACCATCATCACCATCATCGTCATCACCGTCATCACCATCATCGTCATCACCGTCATCACCATCATCGTCATCACCATCATCTGTAACATCGTTGTCAGCCAGGCGGTGGCTGTGTTGCATCACCGCGCAGACGTCGTGACACTTCAGACTGGGCAAGATGTAACTGATGCAGCAGCCCACTCGGTTAGGGTCCCCTCCTCCCCGTGTCTTCCCGTGTCTCTGTCTCCCCGTGTCTTCATGCCTCCATGTCTCTGTCTCCCCGTGTCCCCTCCTCCCCGTGTCCCCTCCTCCCCGTGTCTTCATGCCTCCGTGTCTCTGTCTCCCCGTGTCCCCTCCTCCCCGTGTCTTCATGCCTTTGTGTCTCTGTCTCCCCGTGTCCCCTCCTCCCCGTGTCCCCTCCTCCCCGTGTCTTCATGCCTCCGTGTCCCCTCCTCCCCGTGTCCCCTCCTCCCCGTGTCCCCTCCTCCCCGTGTCTTCATGCCTCCGTGTCTCTGTCTCCCCGTGTCCCCTCCTCCCCGTGTCTTCATGCCTCCGTGTCTCTGTCTCCCCGTGTCCCCTCCTCCCCGTGTCTTCATGCCTCCGTGTCTCTGTCTCCCCGTGTCCCCTCCTCCCCGTGTCTTCATGCCTCCGTGTCTCTGTCTCCCCGTGTCCCCTCCTCCCCGTGTCTTCACGCCCCGTGTCTCTGCGTCCCCGTGTCTCCCCATGTCTTCATGCCTCCATGTCTCTGTCTCCCCGTGTCCCCTCCTCCCCCGTGTCTTCATGCCTCCGTGTCTCTGTCTCCCCGTGTCCCCTCCTCCCCGTGTCTTCATGCCTCCGTGTCTCTGTCTCCCCGTGTCCCCTCCTCCCCGTGTTTTCACGCCCCGTGTCTCTGCGTCCCCGTGTCTCCCCGTGTCTTCATGCCTCCGTGTCTCTGTCTCCCCGTGTCCCCTCCTCCCCGTGTTTTCACGCCCCGTGTCTCTGCGTCCCCGTGTCTCCCCGTGTCTCCCCGTCGCAGGCGGCGTCGCGAGCCGAGTTGCTGGAGGTCCGCTTCTCGCTGCAGGAGGGCGGCGCCGCCTTCTTCCGCGTCTTCGGCTCCCGCGCCGACTCCGTGCTCGAGCTCGCGGAGCGAGTCCACGTCTCCAGCGAGCACGAGCACGAGCAGCAGCACCTCCACTTGCACCAGCAGCAGCACCACCCGGTAACAACAGCAGCAGCAGCAGCAGCACGACATGCACCAGCAGCACCTCCACTTGCACCAGCAGCACCTCCACTTGCACCAGCAGCAGCACCACCCGGTAACAGCAGCAGCAGCACCACATGCACCAGCAGCACCTCCACTTGCACCAGCAGCAGCACCACCCGGTAACAGCAGCAGCAGCACCACCACATGCACCAGCAGCACCTCCACTTGCACCAGCAGCAGCACCACCCGGTAACAGCAGCAGCAGCACCACCACATGCACCAGCAGCACCTCCACTTGCACCAGCAGCAGCACCACCCGGTAACAACAGCAGCAGCAGCACCACATGCACCAGCAGCACCTCCACTTGCACCAGCAGTAGCAGCAGTAGCACCACATGCACCAGCAGCACCTCCACTTGCACCAGCAGTAGCAGCAGTAGCACCACATGCACCAGCAGCACCTCCACTTGCACCAGCAGTAGCAGCAGTAGCACCACATGCACCAGCAGCAGCACCTGTAGCAACACCAACAGGCGACCCACCAGGTAACAGCAGCTGTCACAACAGTACCGCTGCAGCAGCAGCAGATCCACCTGATAATTACAGGAGCCCACTCGCCAACCCTGCGTTGTAAGCCATCTGCTGCTCAGTTATGAGCACCTTCACTGCATGCAGAGCCGTCCCTAGGGGTACGGTTGGCTACGTACGGTGTGAAAGAAGTTCAACATAACAAAGGACATCGCGACTCTGCGACCTTCCTCTGTGTTCACTCGTGTGCCTCCATCTCTGCGCCCCTCCCCCCGCTCCCCCCCCACCCCTCCCGCTCCCCCCGCTCTCAGAGCTGGGCCGGGTGGCCGCTGCAGGCCGCTCCCACGTGGTCATCGTCGGGCCCGGCCGCCAGCCTGGAGCGCGTGGCTCTGCAGAGGCCCTCGCACCACGACTTCGTGTTCCAGTGCGGCCCCGCACCGTCCTCCACTGGCGCCAGCTTCGTGAGGTTCGGCCGCAACCACGCGAGATTCACTGAACTGTTAAAGTCCAGCGGTGGGGAAGCTTGCTTCTGCCAGGGGCCATTTGGATGTTTATGACATCATTCGCGGGCCATACAAAATGATCAACTTAAAAAAAATTCGCCTGTTACATTTTGGTCAAACATTTCATTTACTCGCCCCTAATGTGATGGGCCGGGACTGCTTCTCTTTGGCGAGGCGTGTGATGATGTTAGCTGGCGTTGACGATGTTGCTGCTACTCGCAACTGCTTTTCCAGGTTTGCTCTCCTAGATTTATTGAATTTCGAGTCCCGCCTGCGGTTGCCTTGGCAGGGCCACACCAAATGATTTTGCGGGCCTTAGACGGCCCGCGGGCCGGGCGTTCTCCACCCCTGAGTTAAACTATGAACTATTAGTTTTTATTTAATCCTACCAGGTGGTAAGGCCCCACTGAGCTGCGTAGTTCTTTGTTCAGAAGCGACCTGGACATCACAAACGATAGCTCGGCGAAGTGGCTTATCGTCACGTGGCAAAATGCATAGCGGCCGAATGACTCGGAACGCGTGGTGATGTCGATTCTAGACGTGGAGCGAAAAGCCGGAGGAACCGGAGAAAAATCCACGCGACCACGGCGAGAGAGAGAGAGACACCGCAGACTCCAAAACTACAGCAGGCGTCGTCAGGGTCGGGATCGAACCCACGACCTCCTGTACACCAAGCGAGGGAGTTAACATCTCCTAGCCACCGTGATGATGATGAGAGAGAGGGAGACACCACAAACTCCAAATATACAGCAGGCTTCAGGTTCGGGATCGAACCCACGACCTCCTGTATACCAGGCGAGGGAGTTAACATCTCCGAGCCACCGTGATGATGACAGAGAGAGACATGCAAACTCCAAATATACAGCAGCAGGCTTCAGGTTCGGGATCGAACCCACGACCTCCTGCATACCAGGCGAGATAGCTAACATCTCCTAGCCACCGTGATGAGTGTGGGGGGGGGAGGGGGTCGATAGTGGGAGGGGGGGTCGATAGTGGGGGGGGGGGGGGGGGTTTCTCTTCCACAGCGAAGTCCTGTGGACAACAAGACACGTCCGCCATTGCGGTTATCACGGTCAGTGGTGGTGGTGCGGGCACCACTCCTCGGCACGTGGCTGTGGCTGCCCGTGACCCAGCGCTGCGGGGTGGCACCAGCGAGGCTCGGTGGGTCACCGCACACTGCAAGGGCCGTGAATCTCCCTGCCACGTGGGCGTCGAGGAGACCCCGAGCCCCTGGCTCGCCACGAGAAGGCGGCGCAGCAAACAAAAGAGACTGGTGGATCGCATCTCGTGTCCCGTCTGTGTGATGCATGGCGCGTTGCAGCCCTCACACGCGTGGCGTTCCTCTGTGTGCTCCGGTTTACTTCCACGTGTAAACCGCCCCTTCATTAGCCGATAACACCCTCATATATAAAAGACCGCAGAGCTTGGGAAATTGTTGGTCACGCCGGCTCAGGGCGCCACGGTGGCTAGGAGATGTTAACTGGAACACAGGAGGTCGTGGGTTCGATCTCGACCCTGACGCCTGCTGTATATTTGGAGTTTGTGGTGTCCCTCTCTCATCATCATCATCATCACGGTGGCTAGCAGATGTTAACTACCTCGCATGGTACACAGGAGGTCGTGGGTTCGATCCCAACCCTGACGCCTGCTGCCTGCTGCTGCTGTATATTTGAAGTTTGCAGTGTGTGTCTCTCTCTCCCTGTGGTCGTGTGGATTTTTCAACCGGGTCCTCCGGGGTTTGTTTCCCTTCATACATTTAGAAACAACGTTCGTTTCGAGTGTTTGGCTGCTGCACATTTCCACGTGATGATAGACCAATTCGTCGGGCTAGCATTTGTGGTCGCTTCTGAAATAAAAATAGCCCTACAGCTCCAGTGGGCCTTAAACAAGTGGTCAAATGAAATGTTTTAAATCGTGACCAGCGTACAAGCAGCAGCGGCGAGTCACACGTGGCGCCGGAGATGTCGCCGCTCGAATCCGGCAGGCCGCCCCGGGTAAAATGCTGCCCGTTTATTTCACGGTGAAAATACCACGTGACCGCCTGGCATACCACGTGACCGCCTGGCATACCACGTGACCGCCTGGCGTCTTCGCAGTGTGGACGTTTAAAGATTTGCGTGAGGCCATTCGAAGGTGAGTCATGGGCCTCTTGTTTTCCTGTTGTTGTTGCTGTTGTTGTTGCTGCTGCTGCTGAGTCGCGTGCGGTTTTTTGTTGTTGTTAATCTTCTTCGTCCAGGTACGTGTCGATCGAGCCCGATCAGCGACGACTGACCAATGGGGTGAACGTGCTCGGCCTGCTTATCGACACCGTCCTCAGGGAGGGCTTCCGATTGGTCGCCGCGCGCACCGCCTCGCCCGACGACAGGGTCGAGTGCTACACCTTCGAGCGAGGGCACCCAATGGGAGGCCAGCATCACGACAACAAGGCAATGGCAGCGGGGCGCGAGCAGCCAATCGGAGGGCACGGCAAGGCGGCCAATGGCAAGCCGGCGAAGAAGTAGCCGTTGGGGGGTAGGTTTGGTGGAGGGGGACTGTCCCTTGACCTCTGAGTCCGTGTCTCCACGTGTTATTGTAGAAAGTAAAGAGGACCTCTCACAACGCAACCCAGCGCCAGCCCCACCCACCTCTTCCGCCACCCATGGCCTTCTGGGAGTGCATAATTTCAGCAGAAGTTGAAAAACAATCAGCTAATTAAACTATAAACTATATCTTGACTTAAAGCTTTCGTGACTGCAGGAATTCGTATTCTTGGGTCTTTTCCGTAAAGTCACGTAGATAGGTTAAACTTTTCTACGTGACTTTACCGAAAGACCCACTGAGGTTTCCAGCTCAAGCGACCTGGCTGTCACAAATGATTGCTCAACGAAGTGGCTTATCGTCACGGAGAACTGTATAGCGGCCAAATTACTCTCAACGCATGATGTTGATTCTGCATGTGGAGGGAAAAACCAGAGGACCCGAAGAAAAATCCTCGTGACCACAGGGAGAGAGAGACACACAAACACCAAATATACAGCAGCAGGCGTCAGGGTCGGGATCGAACCCACGACCTCCTGTGTATCAGGCGACGCAGTTAACATCTCCAAGCCACCGTGATGATGATGATGAGAGAGAGACACCACAAACTCCAAATATACAGCAGCAGGCGTCAGGGTCGGGATCGAATCCACGACCTCCTGTGTATCAGGCGGGGAAGTTAACATCTCCAAGCCACCATGATTATGAGAGAGAGACACGCAAACTCCAAATATACAGCAGGCGTAAGGGTCTGGATCGAACCCACGACCTCCTGTATACCAGGCGAGGTCGTTAACATCTCCTAGCCACCGTGGCGCCCTCCGTGCTAGGGAAAGGCCGACGGAAGCGGATATCCCAGAACTACGTCTGAGGCCCCCTTCATCAAGTGACGACTCGCTGACACAGCAGGGGGCGGCACATTGCCACCCGCCGTGCCCCAACCCTAATGCCCGTGCCGTGAGGGTTACGGACCGACGTTTTGAAATCGCAGAGAGGGAGAATTTGGAGCCGAATTAAATTGTCGAACAAAATGTTATTAATCGTGATAATGTTCTGCGTATGTGTGTGTGCAGCTATTGATGAGCAGGCTGAGGCCATTAACTCACTCCACTTGAGAACTCAGTTTTATTGTCATTATCATCATTACGTTTGCTTCTTAAAAACTATTTTTTATGTTACCAGAAAAGGCCCACTGAGCTACGATGTAGCTAATTTTCAGAAGCGACCAGCCCACAAATGATAACTCAACGAAGTGGCTTATCATTACGTGGGAATTTATAGCAGCCAAATACTCTGACCGCATGCTGTTGATTCTAAATGTGGAGGGAAAATCTGGAGGACGCGATTTAAAAATCCACGCGACCACGAGGAGAGAGAGACACGCAAACTCCAAAAATACAGTAGGCGTCAGGGTCGGGATCGAACCCACGACCTCCTGCATACCAGGCGAGGTAGTCAACATCTCCAAGCCACCGCGGCGCCCTCAGGAGAGTCTCCTGATTCTCAGGAGGTGTCCTGCCGAGTTCTCACAGAAGGGAACGACGACCGCTAGGCTCGCCGTGTACGTTGAACTTCTTTCGCACCGTACGTGGCCAACCACGCTCATCGGAGGTGAGGTGGGGGGCTGGCGGGGGGGGGGGGACAGGACAACAAAGTAGACAACAAACAGCGGTACCAAAGAATTGAGCATAAGCTCCAAGCGGGGAATTTCGCGGGCCGTTTTTAAACGTTTAGAAATGTCGCCACGGGCGACCGAGGGCCCGATCGGGAGCCGGAGCGGTCACCCGTCCATGCAGGTGAACGAGGCGGTCACCCAATGCGCAGGGTTGCAATGGGGCGCCAAATTCTACGGGGGGGGATGAAACAAAAATACGAATAAAATAACGAAGATGTCATTATTTCAATACCCGTGCGTGTACAGATGGAATATGAATTGTAATTATTTTCTTGACATTTCTGAGAGCGTATTGGTCGGACAGACGGACAAAGGGCGAATAGTTACGCCTCTGTTTTAAAATAATACGCTTACACTAAAAAAATAATCATTGAACGGAAAATAGAGGCAACGTGTTTCCCACTTCGCAAAAAAAAAAACAACCTCAGCCTAGATCTTGCCCTTGTGGTTCGGGGGTGAGGGCGCCGGTTACTCGGTCCGCCCTGGGGGCCGTCAGTTGGTGGCAGCTCGTCAAGCGACCGAACCCAGTGCCGGACTAAGCTCGTGCGGGCCCTGTAGCATGATGTTGTAAAGGGGCCCTAAATAACAACAACAACAAACACGTTAATTGTTATTTAAAGCTTTCGTGACTGCAGGGATTCATATTCTTGGTTCTTTCGGTAAAGTCAAGTAGAAGGGAAACAATAAAATAATACAAATTATGAACACAATAAAATTCTCACGACGTTTCGACTGCAACACAAGCAATCATCATCAGGTGTGAAAACCACAGCAAGAAAATTTGAAAAAAGTGGCGTTTTTTTAACGTTAGCACCACGGAGAGCGATTTGGCAGTTATTCAGATGGACGAGTCCATCTATGTTCAGAAAAGAGGAGGGGGGAGACGAAAATCATGGATGCGGTCTGAAAGCCACCGTAAGCGTGAACAATTAAGTTCCGAAATGGTTTATCAAATCCTTTCAATGATTGCTAAGCCATAATCCACCTTCTCGGTTGAAATTGTCTCTGTGTTTGTATATGTGGATAGCCTCATGAACGGATCTCTCATGGTAGCCAGATGGCTTGCTCGACGTATATATTAAACCACTAAAGTTTTAACTTGCACAGTAAAGTAATTGTATTTTTTCATTTGCTATACAGCCAGATAATCCAGCAAATCGCTAACCTTAAACACCCAGTCGTTCGTAAAAGTTGAAGGCGGTATAGTACTATAGTAATAGAGCAAGTGCAGAATCACTGAACCGGAATTGATAGCTTGAAAGCATTTAGCGCGGGGCCCTTGAAAGTGCGGAGCCCGTAGCTACTACTACTACATGTGTAGCTACTACTACATGTGTAGCTACTACTACTACATGTGTAGCTACTACTACGTGTAGGTACTACATATGTAGCTACTACATGTGTAGCTACATATGCAGTAGCTACTACATGTGTAGCTACTACATGTGTAGCGACTACGTGCGTAGCTACTACATGTGTAGCTACTACGTGCGTAGCTACTACATGTATAGCTACATGTGAGATTTGGAGCACACTCTTATAGGGAGTTGTCCTAATGTAAGCTTGCTACCTGTATAAAGACACCTATCCGCAGAAGCAATCAATCAATCAGATTCCAAACTTTCCACCATGGCCAAGACCAAAGAGCTCTCCAAGGATGTCAGGGACAAGATTGTAGACCTACACAAGGCTGGAATGGGCTACAAGACCATTGCCAAGCAGCTTGGTGAGAAGGTGACAACAGTTGGAGTGATTATTCGCAAATGGAAGAAACACAAAAGAACAAGAACTGTCAATCTCCCTCGGCCTGGGGCTCCATGCAATATCTCACCTCGTGGAGTTGCAATGATCATGGGAACGGTGAGGAATCAGCCCAGAACTACACGGGAGGATATTGTCAATGATCTCAAGGCAGCTGGGACCATAGTCACCATGAAGACAATTGGTAACACACTACGCGTGAAGGACTGAAATCCTGCAGCACCCGCAAGGTCCCCCTGCTCAAGAAAGCACATACATGCTCGTCTGAAGTTTGCCAATTAACATCTGAATGATTCAGAGGACAACTGGGTGAACGTGTTGTGGTCAGATGAGACCAAAATGGAGCTCTTTGGCATCAACTCAACTCGCTGTGTTTGAAGGAGGAGGAATGCTGCCTATAACCCCAAGAACACCATCCCCACCGTCAAACATGGAGGTGGAAACATTATGCTTTGGGGGTATTTTCTGCTAAGGGGACAGGACAACTTCACCGCATCAAAGGGACGATGGACGGGGCCATGTACCGTCAAATCTTGGGTGAGAACCTCCTTCCCTCAGCCAGGGCATTGAAAATGGGTCGTGGATGGGTATTCCAGCATGACAATGACCCAAAACACACGGCCAAGGCAACAAAGGAGTGGCTCAAGAAGAAGCACATTAAGTTCCTGGAGTGGCCTAGCCAGTCTCCAGACCTTCATCCCATAGAAAATCTGGGGAGGGAGCTGAAGGTTCGAGTTGCCAAACGTCAGCCTCGAAACCCTAATGACTTGGAGAAGATCTGCAAAGAGGAGTGGGACAAAATCCCTCCTAAGATGTGTGCAAACCTGGTGGCCAACTACAAGAAACGTCTGACCTCTGTGATTGCCAACAAGGGTTTTGCCACCAAGTACGAAGTCATGTTTTGCAGAGGGGTCAAATACTTATTTCCCTCATTAAAATGCAAATCAATTCATAACATTTTTGACATGCGTTTTTCTGGATTTGTTTTGTTGTTATTCTGTCTCTCACTGTTCAAATAAACCTACCATTAAAATTATAGACTGATAATTTCTTTGTCAGTGGGAAAACGTACAAAATCAGCAGGGGATCAAATATTTTTTTCCCTCACTGTACATGCGTAGCTACTACATGTGTAGCTCCACATGTCGTAGTAGCTACTACTACATGTGTAGCTACTACATGTGGTAGCTACTACATGTGTAGCTCCACATGTAGTAGCTACTTGTGCTACTACGATAATCCGGCACTGGCCGCCCCTGATTGCGACCCAAGATATTCAGCGATGCCGACCCCAGCGTTCCTCCTCCTGCTGAGCGAGGCGGCCACCTCAAGAGTCGGGTGGGGGAGGGAGGCCTTTGGAGTCGAGACGGGGTGGGGGTTCCTCTTGCCAAGGAGCCATTCCCAGATGCGATGACACGTGGCTCGGCTCGACTCTAGAAGTTCATCGCGAGTGGTTTTCTTAGCGTCTGACCGCGACTCCGACGGCAGCGCGTCGGAGTCGTCATCATCATCAGCCTTGGTCTATCAACTGCTGGATGCAAGCCTCACCAACGCTGTGAACGACGCTCTTTCGCTCCCATTCACCGGCTGATCTCTGCTCAATCTTCACGGTCGTCGTCCTCTTGAAAGTGCTCCCTCCTTTAGGGGCTGCCACGGTGGCTAGGAGATGTTAACTAACTCGCCTGGTACGCAGGAGGTCGTGGTGTCGATCCTGACGCCTGTTGTTTATTTGGAGTTAGCGTGGATTTTCTGCGGGTCATCCGGATTTTTTTTATCCTCCACGTTTAGAAACGTGTCTAGATTATTT